ATCAGTCGCCGTTTGAACCCAGACGCTCGTAGTCTCGTCCTCTTTCTTTTCATAACAAACTTTCATGATTCTTTGTCCATAAAGTGAGGTAGAAATCCATTCTTCTTCAGGTCATGCTCGTGTTTCTTCTCCCGAATTTCCAAATGATCTCCGATTGACTTGAAACTTGCGCCTACGCTTCACTTTATGTGCTAGGGCCTGAAATGTGACAAAGGAACACAACCTAGCGTAAAATAGGCAAAAGAAGCGATAATGCAAGCTTAAACGATCAAGAAACCAAGGGGAAAACATGTGCAAATATCGAGTCATCAAATTCCCCCACACTTAACTGTTTGCTTGTCCCCAAGCAAACCTGACTCAAACCAATGCAAATCTCCAGACCTCTATAGCAACAAACAACCCCGATCGTCGGTAGAGGATTTCCTAGATCATATAGCAGCTTACGAGGTCAACTTGTCTTCTAAGACGTTCCCTATCTCTCTCAATGCGAGTACTAGACTCAAGCCAGGATCATGAGAAGAAGTAGAAGTAAGACAGTCAGTTCATGGATAAAGGGACTCACACCATTCACTACCAAGGATTCGTTGTACCGGAGTGCTCTTTCACTTCATTTCACCGTTAGAACCCCTTTTTCTCACTTTCATTTACATTTTTTCTTTCATTTGGTGGGGTTCCAACTGCAGTCTTTTGCATGGTCGACCCTTATTAGTCGAGCAAGAGCAATTTCTGTACATCTGGAGCTTGCCAGAGTACTTCTTTTAACTCCTTTTCCTCAACTCGTGTGGAGGGTCAATGAAATTAAGGGGGGTCGGAAGCTCTATCCGTGCCCTTAAAAACACATCCTCAAGTAGGCAAACCGTTCAACGGGTGGAAGTTTTACTTGTACTAGAGACAACTTAGCTTCACCTTGTAGGAGTACCCCACTAAGGATCACTAAAATCTCTTCCAAAACCCAATTTTGTGCAATGAACGGTGCCACACACGTTGGGCTTACCCCATGTTTAAGATTTTTGATGATTTAGACATGAAGGACCAACTGCTTTCCATTTTCCACATGAGCACCCTGTTCGATACACGAGTCCATAACACAATCCAAATAGAGTCACCATTATCACATGAATTCAACGGTCCTAGCTCCACTAATTCACAAAATCAACTGGCACATCAGTGAGCAAGATAGGAAAAATCTTATACTTCAACATCCTCCATAGTGCTACACTACCTCCCTAAGTTGCACATTACTATAGAGACTGTCAATTCAAAGCATACTGAGCAGGCAATTTGCAAGGAAACACGTACTTGGAGCCCTCAAATTTAAAAATTTGGACAGTGAACTAGGCTCCAAGCACACAAACAGCCAACCATTCACCCACATACATAATCGAATATCCCCCCACACTTAAGCACGACATTGTCCTCAATGGAGGAAAGATAAGGAGGGTAGAACGAAGTTACCAGATCAAGGGTGAATGACGGTGGACGAGGTAGGCAGTGCATTCCAGGATGAGAGAGTAGTCGGAGCACAAACACCACACAAAATCTCACAAAGGTTGAGTTATTGACTCTAAAATCAAATAACAAAACTGACTCAACCGAGGAGAAATAGAGAAAGAAATGCAAACCGACTGGTTGGGTTGCCTCCCAACAAGCGCTTCTTTCACGTCGTGAGCCGGACGATGGCTCCTAAGTTTCGGTCCATGCTAGAACCTCCTTGAAGTTGAGGTTCTCGTCGATGAGGTGGAGTCTCAAGTCACGAGCATGTGGTGTGGCAGGTGATGAAGGCTCATGTACTTGATGCAGATGAAGTCTCCACCCTCGAGACCTCTTCTTCTCTTCTCTCGTCTCATTGCCCCAAACCAGATATGACAACATCGATTGGCCACCATCGCGTCCACCAAGAGGGACCGATGTTGATGTGGCCTTGGTCTGGCAAAGAGACACTGCAAATGGGTCCTTGCTAAGAAGTTCCTCAAAGTTTGGTGGGGATATTACTTGTAACTCATGGTCGGTGCATGCCTCTTCCACCTCAACTTCATCCTCAGCCTGGACGCCAATTGCTTCCTCAACCCCCCTTCCTTCTTCAAAATGTGGTCTCTCTCCTGGGAAAAGATCAAGAACCACCTCTTCTTTTATTTCTTCCTCATCCTCCACAACTTCCTTCCTCATCCTTTCTCGCTCTTCTTGTTCTAGAACAGATTGGAGAGCAAGTCGCCAAGCAATTTCTTCAATGGGATCATCTTGCATCTCCTCGCACGGGCCCAACATGTTAGAGCATAAATGAGGAAAGGTGTGGTCTGCAACCAAAGGACTTTCCTGTCATGATTATCATGGGAGTTCTCTGTGATAACTTCTGTATGCTCCTCAACGCTCCCGTAGCATTTGTCATCCTCCACCTCTTCTAGCGTGGTAGCAGAAAGTTGATCTTGAGCAAGATGTGAGCAAACTTGCTCCACCCACTCTGTTTGCTTCGCTGAGCGCTGAACAGTCTCCTCCATATCATGGAGAAATGAGGGATCGGAAGAGGCAAGGGCTTGAATTTGAAGATCCATCTTGGAGCAGGATCTCTCAGTGTCTCGAGCAAACTGCTCCACGAGAAGCCTTAATTGTTTGTTCGGATCTTCCAGTGAAGTGTAGCATGGCTCTGCAGAGTGGCGCGTGAAGGCCGCCATGGGTAACTCCAGCTCCGATGGCCCTTCTGGTTGTGGGAGAAAGTCTTCTTGGTAATGAGGTTGTTCTTGATATGCCCAGGGGTCTGATTGTTCTCCGTAGTAAGGGGGTTGGTACTGGAACCCGAATCCATAGTCTTCTCCTCCTTGATTGCTCCAGGGAGTCTCGGCGTAATACCACTCGGATGGTGGTGGATACCCCCAATGATTGGAGAAGCCATGAGGATCCATGATTCAGATCTGCATCAACAAATACAAAAACACCCAAGTGAAAAGCAAGGGTGGAAACGAAAAGAAAAGAAAAGAAAAAAAGATAAAGTAACAAACTTCTGCCTTTCCTAATACTCTAGAAAGTCCCCGGCAACGGCGCCAAAAACTTGATGCTCTAAAACACAACACATAACAATGGCCAAGTGTAACCAATGAAAGGGACTGCAGTATAGTGGCACAAGTAATAAATATCAAATCCACGGGTCTCTAGAGTTACTATTACTCAGCTTCAGTTCATTATCTAGCAAACTAGATTAAGGATTGATTTATAAACTACTCTACTAACTACTCTACTAATTACAAGTTGTGAACTCACTTAGGTATGATTCCCCCTAGCTCCTCAATTAGGTCCAAGTTGTAATTCCTTTTGGTTGTATTACTGTTGATTAAACTGCGGAAGATCCGACAGTAGCTTGGAATCTCTTAAGCTAACCAAGCCCTCTCAGTCTAACTATCCGGCAGACGACTAGTCTTCACCGGGATAGAAAGCTGAAGCAATAAGCACAAAACTCCACTACTGGAATTGGATTCTAGTACAAAGCAGTAAACTGACTAACTCTCGTATAGCCAATCTCATACTACCGAATGATGAGACTCTAGCAACCTAATCATATTCTATCTATCTCAGGTTGCAGCAGAAATCAGGAAAAGTTGATCAGACTTCAATTGACTCAATAAACATGCATCATTCGATTATAATCAAACAATATAGCATCCAAAACTTCATACAAGAAAGATCCTAACTCATGGAACTAGGGTTCCTCAAAACCTAAGTGAAGGGAAGTTACTCCATAGAGAAGAGAGAGACTGCAGAAATCTGATCTAGATCTTCAATCTCCATCTCCAAGCTTGATTCCCGAGCTTCAATGGCAAAGAAATCCCCCAAAATAGCTCCAAGAATGTTCCCAAGTCGCTCTCTCTCTCTAGGGTTCGTCCCTTGGGTGTTTTGGAACCAAAAACCCCAGCTCTCCCTTTCCTTTGGCGCTAATCTGCCTCAAAAACCCGATTCTGGGCGAATTACGGGCTGAATTACGGTCGTAATTCTTCCATGCCCGTATTTTGCCCAAAACACGCGTTTTGGTTAAGTTTCAGCGCACCCAAAGCTCCTCTCGGCAGTGAAATTACGGGCATGGGAGGGGAAATTACGGTCGTAATTCTCCTGCCCGTAATTCTTCCTCCACCCCTGTTCAAAGCTTCGTTTCTCCCTTGTCCGGACTCCAAATCAGTCGCCGTTTGAACCCAGACGCTCGTAGTCTCGTCCTCTTTCTTTTCATAACAAACTTTCATGATTATTTTTCCATAAAGTGAGGTAGAAATCCATTCTTCTTCAGGTCATGCTCGTGTTTCTTCTCCCGAATTTCCAAATGATCTCCGATTGACTTGAAACTTGCGCCTACGCTTCACTTTATGTGCTAGGGCCTGAAATGTGACAAAGGAACACAACCTAGCGTAAAATAGGCAAAAGAAGCGATAATGCAAGCTTAAACGATCAAGAAACAAAGGGGAAAACATGTGCAAATATCGAGTCATCAAGTATCGAACAGATTATCTTGCTCAAACTCTTCCATGTCCGGGGCACAATTAAGCTCCAAGAACCTTCAGAATTCACTCTGAAACTTCATGAATCGTTTCTATTTTTGTTTTGTTTTCTTTTGTTTGAAAACAGAAACTGCAAATTAACCTTCTTGGCAACGTTTAAGAACACAAAACCTGTTTGGCTGATTTTTGCACAAGATAGGAGTATACGTATGCCACTGTGTTTGAACCAGAGATCTGATACCACCTAATATAAGCCGAGGCTCTAACTCCTAGGCTTAAACAATCAGAATATGCAGCAAAGTTTGATTAGCAAAACAAAGAGAAAAAGGGCGGAAAATAACTCAAACCAAAGCCACAATTGGGCAGAGGGCCAAACATACGAAGTGACTCCACAACTAGGGTGATGAGCTAATTGATAACATCGATTTCTTCTTGACGGCTCGATTCCACGAATAGACTAAGAAGGATAAAAGAGTTTTCAAGAATGAACTCTTAAATAAGGGTTTTTCATTGATCAAAAGTTGTTCAGTCCGTAGGCATAACATTGATCTCTTGGACGTGGATTACATTGACCTCTTGGTCAGCTCCAACTCCTATGTCGAGCATCTCTTGGTTAATTGGACTCTTCTCTTTGCGTTCTCGAGCCTCTAAAGCCTTCATCTTCGGACCAAGATCGTTGTATATTCCTCGAACTCGATGGATGTCTTGTGAGGTGATCCAGGTTGCATCAATGGCGCCGGGCATTTGAGAGCACAAGATTATCTTCTAGCTTACTGGGCAGCATGCTTGAATAATGAAGCAGTTGCGCGAGTTGAATTCATCGTGGTTGATTTCTCTTTTCTTTTTTTGTAAGAAGCTTCGAGGTTTGAAGGGAGGTAATTTGGGATTGAATGAGTCGTCGGAGACGGAGGCGAAGTCTAGTTAGATGATGTGTGCTTGAACTTCGGTGATGCTTGCCGCGAAGTTGGTGATGTGTGCGAAGGAATATAGGCTTACGGAGTTTGACACCGATCGGGCCTCGCCCTGGTTGGGTAATATTGACGGGCTATGTTGAAGGCGGGTCGCGAACTTGGAGCTGGGCCGCCGGGCTACATTGCACAGAAGTGGGTCAATTTCAAGGTACGGGTGTTTAGATCGTGTAACGAAGCTCGGGCTGTGAGACAAACTGAAGCGGGCCATGGGACTTGGAGTGGATTTGCCCTTCTAGACCGTGATTTGGAAGCAACCCACATGATGCAGGTGAAGGATGGATGGAAGTCTTTCGTCTTTAATTTGGAGAGGTGGCGGAAAGAATAAATACAGAATGCCGCACATTTCTGAACAAGAAAGCTTTATGTCGTATTGGTAAGGGCATTTGTAAGATGAAGTATTGGTGTGAGTTTGAATCACCGCGCAAATTTATTTTTTGATGGAGGCACGGAGTTGAAGAAGGATGGACAAGAAACAAGAAGCCATGAGTTGGAAACGGTTCTTGAGGAAGAGGTGGGCCCGCGTTATGGTGGAGGAGGTGTTATTCTTGAAGACATGGGACGGTTGCGATGGTTGGAGAGGCAGTGCCCGAACGGGGTGCGCGGCCCGACGAAGGACGAATGAGGTGGGACGGGCCCGAACGGAGCTTTGTGTGCGGAGCGTGGGCCCTGTGAGGCGGTGGGGATGGAAAGCGTAGCGCGTATTGCTTTCCTGTTGGCCAGTGCGGCTTGATGTAATAAAATGAGGGCGTACCGTAACTGAGCACAACTTGTCCTTGTAGTGTACTGGCTTGTGCTCTAATTTGACGAATTGGGCAGTCCCTGGTGTGGCCCTTTGTTCCTTGTGGGCGAGAGTTTACTACTGCGCCAGTGGGGCGCAAATTGGAGTTGGAGAGGGCCGTATCCACCGTGAGTTGGGAGTAGTAGCGAGGCGGACTGGCAATGAACTTGCGCGACTTGGCCTTGAGCTTGGAAGTGGCCTAGGTCTTTGTTGCGTGAGAGTGTGTGCTGCCTTTTAACGATTGTGGCAGACCAAAAATTCACTTTGTGCGCCGCTTCACCCTTTTCTTACTTTTATCTTATTTTTGCTTCTTTCTTTCTTAAGACGCGTTTGTCTTTCTTCTTCTTCTTCTTCTTCTTCCTTTGTGACGCAAAGAGAGCTGTGATATCGTCTTGTACCGCGGGGAGAGTTTGGAGAAAGAGTTCAAGCGTGGCTGATTAAGAGACTAGTGGTGGGGAGCTTGAAAGCAATTCTTGGGAGGTTGAGCGGCGGGACGAAATCATTTGAAGCGATTCTACTTGCGAGGGAGAAAGCGTAGCACGCAGAGCAGCAAGGGGCGGAACGGTTTAGAGAAGTTTGGCAGATATATCGGCGGCAATGTTTTCTCTTCTGAAGCGTTTCCAGGCTGGCATCAACTTGCGGGATCTCGTCTCGGGAAATACACCTCTTCCTTCTGACACAAAGAGAAACTTGCCCTGTCTTTTCACTCTTTCTCGACTGCAGGGCCACCAACTGTAGCAAAGCAATTTGATTCTTGAGAAGCAGGTCATGATGGCGATTGACAGAAACTCCGGCCTTGGACACGTCTCCGGCCAGCAAGGTTGCCCAGATCTGGCCTTTTTCTTTTTCTTTTTTTCGGAGCTTCGACACCGCAAGCCTCGGCGGCTAGCGAGGTTGCCGGAATTTGGATGGGATTTCTTGATTTCTGCTTTCAACTCTTGGTTTCATCCTCTTGGTTTTACCATGCCTATCTCAATTAAAGAATGTGGTGAAGATTTTCAGAACGTTGGACGAGTTTAGATGCAGCAATCGAATTTGGGTATGGGAATCTTGCTCTTTCAGTATCCGACGCCGACATGAGCTAATCAGAGTTCCTTCGTTCTTTTTTTTTTCAAAGAAGTTTCTGTCTCCTTCAGATTTTCTCCTCCTTGAGAGATCAAACAAACGAAAGCAATAGTCTAGCCCCACGGTGGGCGCCAATTGTTTGTACCATCTAGCTCCGGATACAAACAATAATATTTCTTGGTGGGGGCTTGACCCCCAATTCGTTCGTCTAATCTCGTCGGGAGGAAAGTAACCCGTGGAAAGGCGGGGATGCCCCCCAGATTAATCTCCGACGATCAAGTCAGCCGATTGTAGAGAGAGAAAGTTTAAAGAGAGAACTTATATGTGAAATGAGGGTGGAGAAGTTGAGTTCCGTTCTTTGGAGGGCTTGGAAGCTCTTAAATAGACACGACAGGCACTGGTTGCGTGGAAGGTTGTGCGGCAGGTTGAGTGACTCGCACGAAACTACACCACAGTAAAAGCCCAACTAGAGCCCAAGTTTTAAAACTCTAGTCGGGTGCAGTATAGGGCAAGTATTTAGATATCGACCCGGGCCGGTCCGTCTACCCCTACTTCGGTTGTTCAAATCATTATCTAGCAAAAAAATTTAGGTTTAAAGGTTTGCTAATTGAAATAACAGAAGGCAAAGGTAAATGGTTTTGGAAATTCTTTTTTGGAAGGAGCGCTCGGGTGTTGCTTCCCCCTAATTGCTACCATGATATGTAAATTGGAATGATTCCTTTGGGCATGATAATTGCGAACCCGCAGATGGATGCATATATGGTCGGAGACCACAATGTCGATTGCTAAACCGAGGTAAGCATGAAAGGCCGTCTCACTCGATCCTCTCGGTTTAGACAATCGGTAATTGACTTACTCCCTCACTCAACACAAAGGTCGGACGGTTTAATCTCAATTAACCGATTTTCTAAAGTCAATATTGAGGGTTTCCCTAACTTAACCTAGTTAGGTGGCTTAGAAAGCGGAAGGAAAACCAAGGGGATTTTCATCTCTAAGCTAGGCTAAGGTGGCTAATTAGATTGCTAGCACAATTATGCACAATCCTTAGGTTGCTAAGCACCTAAATGCACAAATCTAAGGATGCTAAGCACAAACATGCACAACCCCAAGGTTGTTAAGCACAAACATGCACAATCATGATAAATAATGCCTCAATCATTGAATTGAACAATACCCAATGACAATCATCAAAAACACATAAAAGAAAACTACATGGTAGATTTAGGGTTTCACAACACCCAAGTGAAAGGAGGTCTACTCCATGCTACAAGTGGGGAAACAAAAGGGAAAGGGGTGGACCCCATCTTGGAGGATGCTCCAAGTCTCCATGGCCCTTGAGTTGAGCTTTCCTTGGAGGAAATATTCCCAAAATCTGCCTTGAAGCAAAACCCTAGCCTTCTTCTCCCTTTGGTTTGTGTTTCTCTCTCTAGAATGTTGCATAAGGCTTTTCACACAAAATGGGCTCTCTTTCTCTCTCCTCCTTTCAGCTCATCATTTAAACCAGAGACGAGCTGAGTTCACGGCCGTTAACCAAGAAACGTGTCCGTGAACTGTAGGCGTGCGCCAAAACGCACCGCGTCGATCTCTTTTGTTCACGGTCAACAGCCTTTGTTCACGGTCTTAGTGACCGTGAACTCACCTTGTGTCAGTAACCTCCATTTTGGCTCTGCACGCCTCATGATTCACGGTCATGCAAGACCGTGAACTTCCTTGGTTAGCCGTGAATTGACCCTTTTGAGCTCTTCTCCCGGTTTTCGATCCTTTTCGCCCAACATTCAACTCCGAGGCTGGTTTCACTTGTTAAATCCAGAAACACACTAAAACACGAGGAACCTAGTGTAAAACCAAGCTTTTAGGAGTGAATTTGGCACAAACACCTAAGTAAAACGGGGTGCAAAACATGTACAATTAGTCCCGAATCACTCCCCCACACTTAGACATTTGCTTGTCCCTAAGCAAACCATTTCACACAAGGTAATATTTCAACCTACACAACTACTTTGGGGACAACTCAAAGGCACAAAGTGGGAATTCTCAATGGCTATTGGCAATCAATTCATGGCTAATTGCAATACCGACATCCACCACAAACGACATTCCAAGCCACCTGATTCGAGGCTAATTGCACATTTTTTGCCACGTTTTACTTAGATGTTTGTACCAAATTCGCTCCTTAAAGGTTGGTTTTGCGCTAGGTTCTTCGTTTTTGAGTGTGTTTCATGATTTAATAGGTGAAACCAGCCTCGGAGTCGAAAGATAGGCGAAAAGAATAAAAAACCGGGAGAAGAGGTGAAAAAGAGCCAGTTTACGACTAACTGAAGGAGTTCACGGTCATGCAAGACCGTGAAGAAGGGGAGTTGACCGTGAATCGCGAGGTGTCCAGAGCCAATGTGAAGGTTAGTGACGCAAGATGAGTTCACGGTCACTAAGACCGTGAACACAAGCAGTTGACCGTGAACAGACGTGAGCGATGCGGAGCGTTTTGGTGCACGCCTTGAGTTCATGGACGCGTTTGATGGTTCGCGGCCGTGAACTCAGCTCTTCTCGAGTTTAAAATATGAGCTGACAGGAGGAGAGAGGGGGGAGCCCACTTTTGTGTGAAACACCTTCTTCAACATTCTAGTGAGAGAAACAAAACCAAAGGGAAGAAGAAGGTTAGGGTTCGGCATTAAGGCGGATTTTGGGAAGATTTCCCTCAAGGAAAGCTCAACTCAAGGGTCAAGAAGAGAGGGAGCATCCTCAAAGATGGTTTCCACCTTTTCCCCTTTTGTTCTTCCCACTTCTAGCATGAAGTAGACCTCCTCAATGATTGAGGAATTATTCACCATGATTGTGCATGCTTGTGCTTAGCAACTTATGGGTTGTGCATATTTTGTGCTTAGCATCCTAGGGATTGTGCATAATTGTGCTTAGCACCCCTAAGTTTGTGC